AAAAAAAAAAAAAAAAAGCATTCTTTTTTTTTAGGGGGGGCTGGATTTTTTTTTTTGGCCTAGCCCCCTGCCCTTTCTTTTCATTTTATTACCAGAACAATTTATTTTCATATTTTCAGATTGCAAACCTACTAAATATAAATCTATCGAACATCAATTCCTATCCATACACCCCTCCCACAATACTTCCGCGAAGGTCTCACATTACCACCATAACATGTACCACAAAATTTTTTTATGACAGATTTACGACTTTAATATAATTTCTCATATTTAATTTTGAGTCTAATTTTATTATAGTTTTAGTTTTCGTTACACAAGAAAGTACGACTCGGAAAGTAGCTCGACCGCAAATTCGAAACCATAAATCTCAAGAAAATAACAAACTCATCAAATCTAATTCTACAAAAGACTACAGACTTATCGAAACCTTTTCAATATCTTTTCAATATTATATCGAAATCGCTTTAAATTCGTATCGACACGGGAGCAAATTCGTAAGCCCAAGAAAACCTTAAGCGGAAGGTCCAACAAATCATAGAAAGGCCTAGAAATCATAAAAATTTAAAGAATTTTAATCTCGCCGAGACGAGATTTCAATAATAATCTTATATAAATTACAATAATATCTATATAAATTTTGAAAATATCAATATTTTCGAAAGAATGATTTGAATATTTAGGTTAAATTAAGCAACGGTTCGGCTTATCCTTATATCTCTATTAATTACACAAGACCCCCCTAGATCCCTAATTTAAATGGGGCGCGGGACTATACATGTACATCACTTCTCGTATAATAATAATATAGATAACAAAGAAATATACTCGCGAACATATACTTTAAATGAAATATTGAGCCAATTCTGCAAACTCAAGAACATTGTCGCAACAGTATGAACCAGTAATAAGAAAACAAACGCCAAAATAAATAGACAATTCAATTTACATATTCTTAGCATCACAGTCTGAATTCCAAAATCTTGACGAATAAAACAAACTATGCCATACGATATCGTAATGCCAACATATTATAAATGAAACAAACCTTCGATGTTACTTGTATATCACATGTTGCTGAGAAATCGACCGCCGGAATGAAGCTTCGATAGTGGCAAGTCCACGACACTGGCCCAGAATCCTGCCCCGGCCTGTGCTTGCCATAAGCATTCCCGAAATTGCTCAGGCAAAGATGGTGCAAAAGACAAGCATTCGTGTTTCGTCCCTACTTTTGCAGCAATCTTGCGCTTCCGCTTCTTGACGCGTGGGGTCTCTGCCGGAACGACATCGATGCTGGTAGCATTTGGCTGCGATGGCAAGCGCGAGTCGGCACTGGCCTCCGCTTCTGCGACTTTAAGCTTGACTTTTTTCATCTTGCATCTTCCGACTCTTCCGACCTCGTGTGGCACTCTGAAACACAACATCAGCCATGCACTCAATGATACCAAAACTCCCTCCTTAAACACTTTAGCTGAGAGCAGTCGGGCCGCTGTTGCAGCAACTGATTCCAGGCCCACAGTTGGTTTCGCTCGAAGTCGGCGTCTTTTTCGACGCATTGGGCGCTTGACAGTTTCCTGCCGCCCAGTGTGCTTGGACTTTGCAGGCTGCTGAGCAGAGCTGCTCGCTGACGGTATTGGCCGCGAGCGCGCCTGCCTCCAGAGCAGTGATTTTGACAACTTGCCTGCAAAGCTACAGTAAAAGTCTGTTCAGCACCTGGCCTCATGCAGGCGCGCCTTTGATGTCACTAGTGGATACATCACAAGCAATAAGGGCTTCATGTGGAACTTGGCACGACAACATGTCAGTATATGTTGCGAGAAAGCTGCCAGGAAAGAATGGGATCTCCAGCAGCAAGCAATTCTGCTCGCAACGCCTCTCGCTTTTTTCGCCGCATTGCGGCGCTGATGCTCAGCTTCTGCTAGTTACAAGTACCGTGTTTCAAGAGAACGCTAACCGTGCAGCCAGTGTTTGCTGGGATGCAAAAGCCTTTCATGGAGATGGCACCTTCGTGTTCATCTGACAGCCTTGAGAAATGAACATGCGGCACCGGAACGGGGCTGAACTACTTGTGTTGGAAAAAGATGGCAATCAAGGGTGGTCACATCCACTGCCTGCTTGGCCACGCGAAATCTGAGAAGTCTGCGAGCAGTTGCTCAAACCCTGCGCAAGCGAGCCTTTTTTGCAATGTGCAAGCGAGCGATGCTGCCTTCAGATCGCGCAGGCCTAGCAGTGTGGTGCAACCGCAAATTACGCAGGCCTACCCCTGCGGATCTGAGAGACCAGCCTGAAGTTGGCATCGTTACACTTCCAATGGCAAGTCGGACAAGTGATACACGTCCTGACCACCACAGAAACGCGGGATATGGAGGCAGCATGCCCAGTAGCTCTTCACTGCTTCACGAAACTGCTCTGTCCTCACACCACGCAGGAGCTCGACCTGATACGTGCGATATGCACCAAGCCCGTTTTCTTGTTGCTTCTGGCTCAGCAAGCTCCCGTGCTTCGCGGTAAGCGACGTGTAGCCCACGAGCCCGAAGCAGTAGGAACTATTATAAACATTCATAAACTATCTGTGATGCTGCCAGTGGAAACGCTACACCGCTACATGTGTGCATTCACAGTCCGCAGAAACAAAACCACACTCCCAGCGGAGCAGTTGAAACGGAGGTAACAAGGCCGAGCTCACGGCGACCGGGGGAAGAGGCCACGAGGCTGCTAAGCCCATTAATTTTCCTCATCTCTTCCTGTCGAGTCGTGTTTTTCACAGCTTTGAATTTGCGACTCTTGCGGAGCCGCCTCGCCCAAAGCAAATTCCAATGAGGCCACGTGCTCCAAGAACTCGCTCCTGCGTGCAGCCGCACTCGCTACGTCTCTCTCGGATCGTGAAGGTCCTCTGCGTTGCATTCACAAGCACGACCCCACCAAGCTGCATGAACCATCTGTCGATAACCTCGCACTGACTCTGAATGCCACAGGAACCGCGCTCATCCAGTCCCGAACCTGCGCGCAGCTTCGATTAGCTCGCAAGGCAACCTCAGCAAACACGATTTGTGCTTGCGACTTGTCAGAGGGCCCCGACAGCTGAGAAACTGGCCGCAGAGATGTGTGGATCATCCAGAGGTCGCAGATAGCCACACCCTCCCTCCTGTAGCACGCAATCTTGCGAAGACACATCAAGAGACATGGAAGTCTGGCAGCCTGGGAGAGTCCGGAGCCCATCGTGACCTGAAACGAAGGGGCGGTTGTTGGGAGACTTTTGCATATATATATATATATGTGTGTGTATGTATATATATATGTATATGTATATGTATATGTGTGTATATATTTGTATGTGAAACTTGCTCATGGGTTGCATGTATGCTGGCTGTGGCAGGGCTGGATTGGCTGGCCAGATTAGCGAAAGAATAGAGCCAGTGGTGCGATGCTGGCTGCAAGAAGCTCCTCCATCTGGGAGCTTTGCCGACGAGCCTGAGTTCGCTTCGTCGCAAATCCATCGCCGAGCCTTATCCGTCCTGGCCTCGTCCGGACCACCAGGCTCGTAGACCGTGAATGTTGTCTGCACAAACCTCGAATCCCCACAGACTCTGCCTGGCTGGAGCACGTCCACTCTAAGCACCAGGCTCTGGTCGGCTTCCTCGCAGTAGGAATGTCTTCAATCGTTCAGGTGGCATCTCACTCACCTGGAACCATAACGGCGCACCATCCAAGATGTCTATACACAGCTTTCGTGTGCTCGATGGAGACAAAACATGCTGGTGCGGCGCCGACTGCACTCACAGCACCTCGCATGGATGCCTGCAAAGCACCAACATCTCGTCAGACTAAACTATCGCACAGTGTTACACCGCCTGACCTCGAATTGCTGCCAGACTTCGACATCATCCTCAGGCGACTCCTCCTCACAATGCGCAGATACACCCCGAGAAATCCATTGGCGGCTGGACACAGCTGTTCCTGAAATGCAAGAGCCGCAGCATCCAAGTGTGACATGACCTGCCAGTGTTCTTTCCGTGTTACGGTTGAATTTCTCGGACTTTTTCCATCTCTGTGGGCTCCGCACAAACGATGCGGCGACACCTTAGTCAACATGCACTGGTGTTCCGGGACTGGCATGTCTCCGATGATCACAGGTTTGATCTGCAGGCTTGCTGTGATAAGTTTCGCGAGCACATGTGTGGGCGGGGCCTTTGACATCAGCAGCTTGCATCCTGCCGACGATGATCACCTGTCGGTCTGTGTCGGATGCTTTTACTCCGGCAGCCCGTGCATTTCGTTCGTTCTCTGTCAGGCAGGACAGGCGGTGTAAAAAATAGAGATTCGCGCTGTGGCAGGGTAGGATAAAACAACCAGCAGTAGCATACGATGATTCAGAAGGAAGATGTATTGTAAGGCGGCGCCTCGTGCCGGTCGAGCCCAATGCTGTCAAGTACATGTAGCACTTCGTGCACCAGGTACACAGCCGCCTGAGATTCGGTGTCAACTTGACAAAGCCACACACTGTGGCAAGCAGGGTGCAGCAGTCCTCTGTCAGGAAGAGCATCCGGATCCCGCTCTCCAGTGCCAAAGCTGCCTCTACGCAGAAGGATTGCTCTGACGACTTTTCGTGCGCAGAACTGGAGCCTCACGTGCGCTTGCCACTGCCGCTCCTATCGGAGGCACCTATCGCTAACAAGCGCAGGTTTGTCCGATGGCGCTGAATAAATGACGCCATCCGTTCCATGCATCTCGCGCAAACGTAACTCACGCCTTCAACTGGCCAACGGCAACGGAGCTGTGAGGTGTCACCTTGCCGGATGCCATGACGCGGCGATGCCCTCCCTCAGTGATTCTGTTTCGGACCTGCAGGGAGCGGCCCCCGGCAAAGCGGAGCCTCAGACACCGAGCTCTCCAAGACATGCCCTTTAGCTCGGGAGCTCCTTTGTTTGAGCTGTCGGCCCATGCTGCCCATGTCTCTCCTCGAAGTCTGAGGGAGACTTGACCTGCAAACTCCCAATAACACGGTAGGACGGTAGGAGTTGGAACGTGGCACAGACCAAAACAAATCGAGACATATCAAGACGCTATATCATGTGCTTTCACTTGGCTAGTACCCGGCTCTACTTCACGAGATCTCTTCCGAATGGGAGTAGACTCTCCGTAGGCTCCACACCCATAGAACGACAGGGAATTCTTTCTGGGGAAACGTGGTGAGGTGTAGTGAGCATAGTGGGACGAAATCCCCGTTCGTGCGATGAAGTCTCTTTGGTCATTCCTGAGAATGGAATTAGAAGGCCTGGAAACGAAAGCAGTCTCATCTTTCTGGCTCGCGTGGCATGGCGCACCGAATTCGGCCCGAAGCCGCTCTCAGTCTGCTACGGCGTGCTGCAGCGACGGCCACTTGCCATCTTTCGGTCCTGAGGAGATCTGAGGAGTAGATGCGACTCAGCAGCTGCTCGTACAGTTCTTATTGCATTTGCCGCTCCTGCGGCTTCATCGAGGCTGATGTTGCAGGAACTCGATCATTGCAAATGCAGGTCCCCAGCCGCCGGCAGTAGCTGGAGTGGCAGGCCTGAAGGTCTCTCGACTCGATGGGCTCAGAAAGAAAAGCAAACTACCAGACCTTCATTGCCGGTCCCGCTTCGGCGGCTCGCAACCCCGTGGCTCGTGGTCGCTGCACACTGTCTCTCTCCTGGTGCAATGCATCCCAGTTGCGATCGGACTATTGCTCGGAGACATTCATTTGTGGCTCGGGGGCTCGTAGTCGTACTCGAAACTTACGGACAATGATGAGGGGCAGTCATGTTTGACTACAATACTACCAGTAGGACTAGTAGTAGTAGTAGTAGTAGTAGTAGTAGGTGGTGGTAGTAGTAGTAGTAGTATTACTGCCTATCATGGGGACGAGGAACTAGTGGCCGATACAATGTCACAGCAAGACTTAACTTAACGACAACTTAACATCTTGCCTGACTTCCTTTGCCGTTTCTTGCCTGCCGCCTGGCTAGGACGAAGCCGGCATGGCAGGGTTGGTTTTCCTCTACTAATGCATCACTGGGCTTGCTCTTTCTGATGTGTGGGTACTCCAGCCCGAGGCAAATGCCTCCGAGGAAGGGGGTGGGTTGGTGGCTCTTATTACGGGGAAATGATTCCACCGCAGTTCCGCATACTTGCGCAGGTACAGTGTGTCTTGGACTGCTGAAGATACTGCCCACTCTGAATCGGCCCGAGGCGATATCTTGCTATGGCCAGGTCCTTAGGAGGAGCAGCTTTGCCAACCATCACCTGGGCTCTAGCTTTACAACTTCCAGCATGGAGGAGGCATCGCTGGGAAACTGGCACGCGGCTCAAGCGAGTTTTCGGCCAGAACCTGCTGGTAGCTTATGGACTCCTGGCTCGTGGGTACATTTGCCTCTCTTCGGATCTGCTGCTGCATATGCTGTAGAACACGGTAGCTTTTGGAGCTCAGGAAGCAAAGCGAAGGAATGCGTGCGTGCCCCTATGACATTTGAGCACATCTCCAGCGAGCTCCAATCCAGCTGCTGCCTGCCTAGCAGGAAGACTAAGCAAAGTTAAGTGCTCTATGGCGTCATCACTTGCCTGCTCTGCCGCAGTGCCTTGTGAGCCAGTCGTGAGGTGCTCTTGAATCATCTTCATCTCCGGGCGATCCAGCGACTCATGTTTGGTCATGTATGGAAGGATCTCTTCCAGCTCCTCGGCTCGTGAGGGCAGCCGTCTTTGCCGCGAATCTTGCATTACAGTCGTGCCGCTGGCCAACCAATTCTCACTGCGCCGAGTTCCTGAACAAAACGGCGCTGCACCACGTTCAGCTGCAAATGCACACTGTTATCATGTCATGTGGGAAACACTGAATGCGCCTGAATCTGCAGGGTCCGCCCCAAAGAGTAGACATCAGCCTTCAAGCCGCTGTAGGCACCTGCGCTTCATGGAGGCTGCCCCACAGACACCTGCAAGACATGCAAGAAGGGCCTCCGCTTTCAACTTCTGGAGCCCGAAAGCCGACAGTTCCACATTTGCCAGAAAGCTGCTGGTCGGCCTTGCAGACTTCAACAAGGCAAGTTGCGCTTTGGCTTTCTGCACTTTTTACCCCTTGAAAAAATCACTGGGCTTTTGTGTTACCAGCGCCTGCTGGAGCTGACATGCCGTCACGAAGTCGCAAAGCCGCACTTCTCCTGACAACGAAGCCCCCTATAGGCATCGCAGTGAGGACCTTCCTCCATGGCCCGCAAACCGAGCCCCGGCCTGATCCAGAGAGGAGCACGTTGTCTGGCTTTATGTCGAGATGGCAAACAAGCCGTGCATGCCTGGTCTGTCGGCCCAAAACACAAGAACATGTTACTAACAACAGATGTCACCAAGCAATGATCCACTCCGACCCCATCCATGGCTGATGCGAAAACGTCGAGTAAAATCGATGGCCGAACCGTGGAAACGCCCATTCCGACCCTATCGATGGCTAATGCGAACGTCTCAGAAGGCATTCATGGCCGACCAATACCGCCCCCATCCGCCCCCTCCGACCATCTGCAGATGTCTCTGTAAACGCCATCTCATATCGGCACACTCACAAGAAGTTTTTGCTGTAGCCAAGTGTCAAGTGACACACCGCCTGCGCAGCATGCTAGCCCTCACTGCTTGCGGAGAGGATGACCGTATGTCCTCTGCATCTTGTGCTGTGACATGGGCCCAGCCTCTAGCAGCTGCTGCACGATAGTCTTGGCGGTGTTTGCATACCGTCCCAGCCAGTCTGACAGTCGACCACCAGCACAAAGCTCCATCACTGTCCAGAACTCGCGCTCAGAGTCAAATATCCCTTGGCTGCAAGATCTACATTTAACATCTATGCCGGCCTGCACCTGTCTAGCGATGATACAGCCCAAGTTGCCGTGCAGGCTGACAATGTACGCGGACTTTGCGAGCGAATGTAGCATCTGCGATGCACATGCGATGCTGGGTGGCTGGGTGGCCCGCTCCTTCCCTGCTAAAGCGCCCCGACAACGACTGCCACTGTCCCCAGCCTGGACTTCATTGAGATAGTCACCAGAACGGTGAACGTCGCAGCCCTTCTGGATTCTCTTTCCAGCGACGGTGATGCCGGTGCGCCTGCAAATGTAGCTACAATTTGTGACCGCCGCAGTGTAGGCACGCAAACTGGCATCAAATAGTCCTGTGACGCAAGCGATACACTGCTGACATTGGAGTCTCCTTGGCGCTGCAGGAGCGAGACCAAGAGTGAAGCATCGTCTCGGCAATCCAGCCCTTCAGTGATTGGCTCAGTCTGGCACGTCGATGAGATCTAACATCTCGAACTCGGTCAAGTCCAACCTTTGTCGAAGCTAGGCAACGCTCAGTAACCTCTCACGGGCGAAATCGTCCAACCTTCTGGCACATGGGAGTACTGCGGTCTCCTAACATGGAACAGCAGATAGCCGCTGCTTTCCTGTCTTTACCCCTTATCTCCCCACTCTCGCGTCTGCGACCATGTGTGTCCTTGTAGCGCTGTGGGCTGGCTATCGGCGGCCTGTTCCTCTGATCGCCGGTTCCCGGAACAGCTGCATGCCTCCAGGCTCCAGTTGTGCGGGCACACATCCGCTGGCTGCGGGATGCTGTCGGGGGCCTGCTCGAAGGAGGCTGTTCCGGGCGCGGCGCAGAGGCTCCTGCCAAACAGACCCAAGGATCGCCGTGGCTTCAATTGGCTTCAGAACTACCCGGTCTGGAAGAGCCTTGACCGACAGCACCGACTGCTCTGGTGGAAAGGTCCTGTGCATTGCAGCATGTGATAGCATGTGGGCAATGACATTCGCATGAGTCGAACCCATTCACTCGCACATTTGTGACTCCTTGTGCCGCGTCCCTTCTCCACCTGCTTTTTCTCGCTGCGACTGTACCAGAGTCTCTTCCGACGGAGGAGGCTCCTGCGACGAAGGCAAGATCGGGAAATGATGCCGCCGACTTTCTGAGAGGCCAGCCAAGTCTTGTCATGACGTTCGGGTAGCTTTGTCAAGCCGGAAGTCGATCATGATTCGCCGACGGTGGACATTCCAATACGTTCAGCAACAAAGAGGGCCACCAATAGAGAGACATGAGGCTCTGCTGATCAAGTCCTTCACTATCTGGTAGCTTCTCTGACTTGCACCGCATCCCATGGGCAGCACCTGCCTGTTGCGAACTCACTGTTCCTCCTGCAGGCTCTCTAGACTCTAGACTGTAAGCTCTGCTGCATCAGTTCTGGCAAGTTGTGAAGGGACCACATGCGCGTCTTCTGGAACCAGCAAACTCCATCTGCTTGGCTCTTGGAAAGTATTGGGTGAAACACTCTTCGAGCCGTCAATGCAGTGGGTTGGTTAGCCCTTATTAACTAGTCGGCAACGTGCGGCGAAGGCATCATTGGCATCATGTTGACACAGTGGTGAGCGGCTCTGTTGGCAGGCCTGCAGTGGTATCTCTGTCAGAGCATTCCTAAGTGAGGAGGATTTCCCAGCAATTTCTGCAAGTAGCAGCAAAGCTTCGACAGCATCTGCTCCGGGTCCCAAGCACCACCTCTCGGGATGCAGTGGCGGCCTGGACACGAGGCGAGCGCTCGGCCGATCACAGTGGGTATGCTGCACCTATGAGTGAGAAGAGGTGCCTGGCGCCAGTTGGCATACCTGGGTCCGAGACCGAGACCACAGGCAGCGTCTTGTCTTGTCACTGTCTGTCTGTCTGGACAAGAAGCACTCCAGCATACGTTTTGAGGCCACGGCCACAGGCCGGGGTCGTCGCCAAGGCGGTCGATAAGCGCGTGAATGTGGCCAAGTCGACTCAGGCAGAAGCCCTCCGTCTCTCTCTCTCTCTCTCT